TATAGCGGCTCACCGTGCTCACAACAAATGAGATTTTGGGACGCGTGTGACTCAAATAGATCAGACGACCCACTAATCTTTGGTATCTCTCACAATCAACTGGGTTTGCTACTTATGCACTCGGCCTGGTCTTCTGATCAATTGAAGAGACTGCAGACTTGCATCCCAACATGCTTGTTTCTGTGAGGAAATCTAAGGCATACTTTCTCTGAGAAAACACCATCCCTTTTGGTCCGCCAACTACCTTAATCCCAAGGAAGTACCTGAGCTGTCTAAGATTCTTCACCTCAAATTTTTGCCCAATTTAACCTTTAATTGAATAATCTTTGTCTCGTCATCTCCAGTGACAATCATATCATCAACAAACAGAGCAAACATATTGATGTGACCACCATTTTGATGAAAGACCATCATATGATCAACATTGAACTACTGATATTCCATGCACACCATAGCTTTCTAAACTTGTCAAACCAGGCTTGGGGAGATTGCTTCAAACCACCACATTTAATAAATGCCTCTTTGCATATTCCTCTTATATTTACCTCAGTTCTTTATTGTTGCTTCCTATGATTTTATCTTCAATAGGCATTGTTCTTATCATCTCTCTTATTTAATCATTACCAACAAATCTTTAAAATTTTATATCCCGGTTTGTGATGGAAATATAATAGTTTATTTATCTCAGAAACACAGGATATAAGCATTAAGATGTGCACAATGTCATTCGGAGCTTTGGTGGCGTTCATGCTGTCAACCCATACATGGAAGGAAATATTTTATTCTTATTTTTTCTTTTCATTTAAATGTTTTGTAATTGGTTTTGTTTGTGATTGAAATTTCATCCATTTTTTTTTCATGCTAATTTTTGGTTTTACAGCGTAAATTTTACTTTTACATTAAAACCAAAGAGAAAAGTTCTTTTTTGGTCAATGCAGATAGAGATCAAACCACAGGATGGGGTTTGCCCTCCTCCATCTGCTATGTCAAGCCAAGTTGTTACATATTTGGAGGAAAGGGGCTTTCTGCATGCTTGATCAGATACAGACATGTGTCACAAAAGTTAAGCATATATTATTATTTTTTTCTAACCAATCAATATTTACATTTTTAACCATTTGAGGTTTATTCAATTTTTAGTCAGCAATGGCTATATTTATCAATTTGTTTACTGCAAGTATATTCTGGATTATGTATTTGTCTGCTTCTCCAAGGAAAGAAATTTCTTTCTTTTGGTTCTCATGTATTATGAAATTTGAAATTATATTCTAAGTTATTTCTATGGCTGATGATGCTCTTTTTTTTTGGCTTCACACAGAAGCACATATATAATATCTAGAAGAATGCTGAGGAGATGGTGTGTGCTAAATAATCTTCTTTGAGATTCCCTTTTCCTTTCAAAACTTTTCTTTCTTACTTTCGCTCTAGGAAGCTGGTCAGTTTTGATTGTGATAGCCGGTCGGCTTGTCTGATTGTTGTTTCTTGGTGATTTTTGAAGTCTTTGGGAGAGCTGTTGAGAGTGTCTCGTGTTGATACTTGTGAGTTTATTGGGGGGTTGGACATTTGTTTCGTTGTTGGCATTAATGTTTGTTTCTTGTTCGCTTGGATGGACCTTTGGTTGTCGGATTGGCCATGAGTTGATTGGCTGTCCTCGGTTGATTGTAACCCTTCGGTTGGCTAGCCATCGGTGGCTTGGTGGTCTTCAGTCGGTTGGATTCATTATGCCTTGTAACTTTTCATCTATGATCGGGATTATTGGATTGTCTAGAGATTGTGTAGATCTCTTTTGTATACATTATATATGTGAATATTTTGTTTGACTAATAAGATCTCTAGTGTCGAAAATACTTTCAAAAATGGTAATCTCTTCAAAATTCTGCCGTGCAAATTGATTTCCTCTAAAAATACATTGGGTGGAAACTCCAGTCATAGAAAGCAAATTAATTTTGAGGTTACTATAATGTATGATAAATAAATTAGCCATATTATACATGAGAAATGCAATTTCCAAAATATTGGTTCAAGACTTTCGTTGTATTTTTCTTTTTCGAGGAAGGTGAGCCTTAACAACACTAAAATTAGTGATTAGCATGAGAATCGAAGTCTCCCCGCCCGGTCGGGAGACGGGTTGACCACTGAACAACAGATTCATTCTCAATGCACAATTAGGGGTGTAAACGAGCTGAAAACGAGCTGAGCGACTCGTTTATATTTCGAGCTCAAAAAGTGTGTTCGTGTTCGACTCATTTGCTTAACGAGCCGAACACGAGCTGTTCACGAACAAAAAGTCCTTTTAACAACTCTAATCATGTAGTCATAAGACAATAAGAGTTTGAGCAATATTTAAAAATTATTATTTGAATTAAAACATCATTTGAATATAATTTAATAATTTTTATTCTATTTTCTTAATAAATATTTTAATTGGTTATAAATCTTTGTAGTCTTGTAGTCAATTAGATTTTTTTAAAATACTACTTAATATATATATATATATATA